CCAGTCACCAGGAAGCCCCGTTTGCTGCCTCGGGGTTCTTGAGTTCCCTTTGAGCCTTTGTCTCACATGCGGGTCCTGATTTAGAGCTCAGCATTGTCCCTGCAGGGTAGACCCCGGGTTAGTCCACCTGTGAGGGGCCAGCCCCTCCCTCTGCCTGAAAGGACAGACAGCCTTGGGGGGTGGGATGTGAGCCACCTTGGGGACCCGGCTTGGGTCACCAGTTCCGCAATGCTTCTGGCTAATGAATTGAAGGAGGCCGGACCCCACTTCCCGGTGGGACCCCCACTACATCCCCCCATAGGCAAGCAGCTGGATAGATGTGGGCGCTAGCCACTGGAAGGGCAAAGGAGCCAAAGGCAAGGATCCAGATGCTTCAGAAGGGTGGGAAAGAAGGCGAGGACATTGGGCCGGCGCATTTGCAGGGGGGAGGAACCCCATTGTGAGGCCCCCAGAATGGGCCGCTGAACTCTTAGCTGAACTCTTAGCACAAGGTGAAAGCAAGAAAGTTGAAGGACCTCATGGCTGAGTCCCTTCCCCAGAGTCTCTGCCCCTCTTGGAGCCTCAGTTCCCCCAAGAATTGCTGGATGGGACCAGAAGGCCACTAAGGATGCTTGGTGGGGAGACGCCGGCAGACATAAGAGAAAGAGACAGAAGCCCATCTGGTCCCTCTGCCTCCTTCCTGGTGCCCATCTGACCAGCTCCCGGCCCCCTCAGTGAACCCGGGTGTGTTTGCCTTCTGGGGAGCCCTAACCCTAACCCTAACTCTCCCCCACAGCCAGGCCAGACTTGGCAGGAGAAGGACAGAGGCCACATACCACCTATAACCCACGCCTGCTGAGAAGGGTCAGTGGGCAGTGCTTTTCCTCCAACAGGCACCTCAGTGGGAGGCCCCAGGTGGGCTGGGGGGCACGAAGGCCAGGTGCTCCCCGCTCAAAGTGGAGAGGGTGGGGAGCCGCCAACCAGAAGGGCGGTTGTTGGAGTTTTCACTCCTGCACCAGGGCTCTGGATGAGGGTGCTGCCTGCGCTCCTAGCCCAGGTCCCGGCATGGCCAAGGCCAGGCGGCTCAGGCCTACATGGAGCAGGAACCTGGCTGGGAATCCTTCCCAGATTGCAACTCCCCATTCACCCTTGGCCTAAGGAGGGACCCGAGCCCCTGGTGGCCTTTCCCAACACTGTGAGGATGAGTTTCACCTTCTGAGGTCCTGGGGACCAGCTCTGGGAGGAGACTGATTCTCCAAGTTCTTTTCAGGGCAGAGTTGGTGGAAGGTCAGCCTGGGGAAAGGACTGAGCAGGGGACTGTGTGGTGTGTGTGTGGGGGGGGCGGGGTGTTGCTCCCCTCCCACCCCGTGTTTGCACATCACTGCGAGGGTATCCCTATGGCCCTGGCCCCAGGAACCTCGCCACCTTGCTCAGATCAGAGAAGGGGAAGCACTTACAGGTTATAGACCGCCGTCTTCACATAGGTCTGTCGTGGGGAAACTGAGGCATGGAGGGGAGGAGGGATTTGCTCAAAGTCACTGAGGGGAGGGGGGCTGAGCCTGGGCTGAGGTGGGCCTGCCCCGGGTTTCCAGAGCCCCTCAGCCCTGCCTAGGCTCAGGGACTCTGCAACCAGCAGCCCCAGCACAGTCCACCAGTCCTCTGTAGCAGGAATTGGGCCTCATGGAAGGAGGAGGTGAGGTTGGTGGGTTCTAGAGGGGGCAGGGCAGGTGTGGTGGTAAGTGATCGAAGACATTCATCATCTGCCAGGAGCAGGGTCGCTGAGCCCTGGGTTCTTCGTGATGGATATTGCTGGAGCTTGGGGCCAGCGCATCCCCAGCCTGGACCGGCGCGCCCTCTAGGGTTCCCTGGGCTGTGAGTTGTGCTTTGTTCTGCTTTGTGGCACCCCTGCCGCAACACTCAGTGTGCTGGCTCAGAATGGGGGGGGGGGAGCCAGCTTCCCGGAGCCCAGACTGGCCTAACCCAGGTCTGGACTCTGAAGTTAGGCTCCTGGACCCCAGCTGTTCCCTCACAGCCGACACAGCCCTTCTTTCTACCTCCTGGCTCCCTCCATCCACAGACCTCAGAGCCCACAGGCAAGAAAGCCTCTCTACAGATCAACTTTTCACTACTCCATTGAAAGACAGCCCTTTGTCCAAATCCTGCCCGAATTCGCAGCTACAGACCCTTCCTCCCTTGATGCGGTGACAGACACAGGCTGGGTGGCCAGTGAGGGTGACGGTCCCTGGGCTGGCTGGCTTCCCAGGAGGCAGAACAGATTTCCTAGATGCAGCACGTGCACTCTCCTTCCCCTTCTCCCTCACCTGTGGACCCCCGCAGGCAGCAGCACCCCGCACTGCCTAGGGTGACCCGCCTTGGGACCCTGGCCACACCTGCTCAGTGGGGAGTTGCGGTCAGCAGGGTCACCAGGCTACCTGGGGACTGTACCCGCATCAGCCATAAACAGTTAAATAAAATGATTGTCTCCTAGTGATAATCTGACTTGGGCTTTCATTGTACCGTCTGAGTCCCCGTGACCCTAACTGTTCTCAAAAACCATTTCTTCTCTGTATCCTAGAGAGGGTGCTCCCCAGAGCTCCCAAACCCGTCTGGCATGAAGAAAAGGGGGCAGAGGGGATGGCAGTATCCAGCAGAACCCGCGCTGGCCCCAGAGGCCTCTGCCCAGGTGGGCTGGCGTCCTTTGGAGGACTGCTGCCTGCCTGAGCCCACCAGGAAAGCACCAGAAGAACAGAAGGGATGGGCCCCAGGTGGGGCCCAAGGCAGGAGCAGGAACGTTGAGGCCTACCTAGGGCAGGGTGGGGAGAGTGGGAGGGAGCAGAGAGGGAGAGATGGGCTGGTGCTGCCCTTGGAGGGGCCTCCTGAGCACCCCCAGGTCCACCTTGGCCACTGACCAGGAGCCACACCCTTGGAAAATAACTAGCAGGAAATTCATTTAATTGAAGCAGATCAGAAGTCCCTCCCAAAGTTCAGTAAAACCTAGTTTGGAGAAAAGCAGTGTGGGGCAGCTCCCCCACCAGCCCAAAGAGGAGGACAGCTGGCCCCTGAAGGGCCCAAGGAAGGCCAAGGTTGCCACCTCGGGAATGCACCTGTGGGGTTAGGGGCTGGGTGGGGGGGGGGAGCCCAGTAATCTCTCTTATGCAGAGGGCACCATAAGCCAGAAGGCAAGGACCTAGAGGCCAAGGACCACCCAACCCATGGGCTGACCCCCACCAGGAGGCCCCACTTTCCAGGCCTGGCCTCCGGGCACTGGGAGCTGGCTGGCCCTTGGGCTGGGGATGTTCCAGATACAGGAGCTGGATGGCAGGGGCAGACAGACGGATGGACCACCAGCGCAGGGTAGACCCCCTTGGCACCTTCTCCTGGTCTGTCTGGCGCCACCTCTGCGAGCAAGGAGCCCCTGGTGTGGCCGGTCACTACATCTCAGCCCAAGAGCCAGAAGCCGAGGGACAGACACAGGTTTCCAAGGGGGGCTCAATTCTGTTAGAAGGGACCCAAATTTCTAGCCCCAAATGACCTCTCTCCCCAACTGGAGAAGCATACCCCACAGAGGGTCCTTCATCTCTCCCGCTTTGCAAGGGACCCTGTAGTCACCTTGTAACAGCCTATCTTGGGGTGGACAGAGCCTGAATGGCCATCATGTAATCCAGACTACTGAAATAAGCTTTTGTTCTGAGCGCACAAACTCAGGCCCTGAGCTGGGGCTTTGCCCACCGACCTGGATACCCCCTTGAAGCTTGCCAGAGATTGTAGATGGCCCAGGGACTGAGGAGAGGCTGGAGAGCACCATTCCCCACCTGACCTTGCTAGGAGTGTCTGTGTTTTGTTTGGGCCAAAAGAAAAACCCATATAGTTAGAGATGGCCATTAACAAAGGGGCTGTGAATGGGGGGACCCACACAGCCACAGCCAAAAGCCCCTTGTGCCAGAGGCAATTGGGCTCCACCTCCACCTGACTCACGGCTTTTAGATTTCATGGAGGTCCCAGAACGGTGGGACACAGGCCACATGGCCCCCTCCTCCCCCCCAACCCTTTACCTTCCCTGGTGGGACACAGGCTACAGAGCCCCCTTCTCCCCCCCAACCCTTTACCTTCCCTGCGGCAAAGTCCCCCGGAGGACCAGCTGGGCCTCCCAGGATATGGGGGCTGGAGCAAGGAGTCCCCAGATCTGGACTCCTGCCTGCCCTTTCCACCTTGCCACCGGTCCTTGGTCGGCACAGAAAGAGCTCCAGGAAGGAGGGACGGACTGATGGATGGACAGGACCCACGGTGGCCTGCTAGTAGAGGAGGGGCCCCGCCCCAGTGATCACAAAGCAGCAGAAACAGTCCAGAAAACGTCCCTTTTATTCCGTACGCAAATAAGTAGATTCGTTTTTTAAAAAAGTCTTCACCAGAAGAACTGGAGGCCATGGCCCAGGAGAGAAGCCCCATCCTGGCCCTGTCTGCGGAAGGGACACTCTGACGCTGGGGCCACTGGCCGGTCTTCGCCCCTTCCCCGTGCAGGGGCACTTGCCCTGGGGGTCTCCCTCCACAGGGCCCACTGCCAAGGCCTTGAGGCTGGTCACAGTCCTCTGGAAGCCTGCTGTCGGGGTCCTGCGCGGTCCTGGGAAGGGACATGTATGTGGGGTGGGGGCCGTGCTGGGGAGCGGTCACCTTGAAGCACCTTGAACAGCCTCTTGGCCTTGGTGGAGTGGGCCTGGGCATTGGCTGGCCGCAGTGGGGCAGTGGGAGGTGGCGGAACTTGCTCCCTGGTGGAGGCCTGTCCTGCCAGAGCTGCCGGCCACAGGGCACAGTGTCTCTCCTGGATGTCCTCTTCCCTGCCACAAGTCCAGCCTGTCTGGGTGCCGAGGTGGAAGACATCTCTGTTACATTCTGGACAAGCTTCAGACAGGGTTCTGGCCGGCTGTGCAGCCTGCTATCTGGCACAGAGGGGCCCTCCCCCAGCGCTCCCTGGGCTGCCCCAGAGGTCCCCAGGGGCCCCAGGCAGTGGGCCCAGCAGGTGGGGCTCACACCAGGCCGGGCATCTGCGCCCGCAGGAAGGGCACGGAGGCAGCTGCCGGGAAGGCGGCCAGCGGGTAGGCGAGGGCCCCAGAGAAGCCAAGCAGCGGCGGTGGCGGCGCGGGCGCGGCGGGCGCTAGCGGGAAGGGCAGTGCGGCAGCCGGTGGGCCGGGGGCGGCTGAGGCCGGAGGGCTCTCATGGTAGAGCACCGGCACGCGGACGAGGCGCTGCGCGCCCGGCGGGGACAAGCTGGCCGCTTCCAGCTCTGCGGCCAGTTGCCGTTTCCACTTGTTGCGACGGTTCTGGAACCAGATCTTGACCTGCGTCTCGGTAAGCTGCAGGGAGGCAGCGAGGCCCGCGCGCTCCGCGCTGCTCAAGTAGCGCTTCAGGTCGAAAGTGGACTCGAGCTGGAAGACCTGGCTGCGCGAGAAGACCGTGCGCGTCTTCTTCTTGCGACCGCCAGCGACGCCGACTCCGCCGCGCGCCTCGCCCGCCGCTGCGGGGGCCTCGGCCAGCTCGGACGCCTCCTCCGTGCCGGCCGCTGGGCCCCGCGCCGCTAGCTCTGCCGCCTCTCGCTGCACGGCTCCCGGGGCCCGCTGCCAGGCACCCTCCGCGCGGCCCATCTCCTCGCCCGTCTCCGGTGAGTCCCGGTCGCTGGCTGCAGGGGAGAGAGGGACACACGGTTGGTTCTGGGGCTAATCCCCAGACCCAATCACTGCGGCTGGCCGCTCCCCCAACCCGCGGCCTCTCCCACAGCTGCCTGCAAAACGGGTCCCCACGCATCCCCGCGCCGCTGCCTGGAGAGCTCACCCAGGGATGGAGAAAGGGAGAGGTGGGAGGAGGTGAGCGGTACTACAAACCAGCAGGCTGGCAACACATCCTGGCTCAGCGCTGCACATACACACCAGGGGATGAGAGGGGAGAGAGGAAAGAAAAGAAACACAGAAATGCAAACAGAAACACAGAAAAGAGATTCCCGAAACCAGTGATTCCACACTGAAACACGACGAAGAATCGAAGAATCGTAGTCGGCACAGGGCCCCGGAGGAAGGACTGACATCCTCCCCTCTGAATTACAAACAAGGGCACCCTGACTCCCAGCACCCAGCACTATGCCAAGCCCCCCAAACACAGAAACGAAGACCTGCAGTGACCCTCCCCAGCCACTTGCATATGCGGACAGACAGAAAAAGTCCCGCTTGCACAGAAACATCCCTGGGAAGGAGAATAAATGCATGCAAACAGTCCCCAGACAAAACTCCAGGTGGCACTGGGATCCCCACCCCCTCTCCAATTCCTGCACCCCTCACCCAGACGCCCACTGAGGCCTGCCTGTCCATTCTCCCCAGCACAAGTACAAACGGGGCTCCGCAGAAACACAGCAGCTGCATGGCATCCCCACCGCTCTTGCAGCCTTGGCTGAGCCTAGGGGCTTGGGATTACAGAAGGGCCCCAAGGGTTCCTGAGCTTGTGCTCCAAATGCCGGGCTCCACCTGATCTCCCAACAGTAAGGAGATGCCCCCCAGGACTGGCACGGGATGGGGACAGTGCCTCCAGGTGAAGGAGGCTGCCAGGTGCATGTCCATATTCCTGCACCACCACCCCCAGACTGCGGGGTGCAGGCCAATCAGGGTCAGCATGCCCTTCCGCCTCCCCTTGGCTTGAGTCCCTCCACCTTCCCCCCACCCTGTGCCAAGGCTTGGTAGGTCTAAGTGGAGGTTGGCCCCTGCAGCCCGTGCCCTCGGAAGTCAGGGTCTGCCGGCAACATGAGTGTTTACAAGGTATGCCCACAAAGCTCGGCTTGTATGGTGGCTCGGGCCCCTGGGGGTGTGTGGAGTCGTGTATGTGCCCCTGCCCAACCCTGCGTGGTGCGAGCCCTCTGGGTGCCTGATGGGGAGTCAGGTCCAGTCCGGCCGGTGTGCTACCAGACAGGAGAAGCCTGTCTCTTCACAGCACCCTAAGCACCCAGACTCACAGAGGCCCACGCGCTACCCCAAGACACCACTCCAGGCCTGCCAGCTTCGGTGGCAAACCTGGACCCTAACCCGCATTGCACGAAATAAGAAGCCCCATCTTCAGGAGTTGGCCACCAGGGTGGTGGGGGGGGGGCAAGGGAACCTGGGGCAAGGTGGGGACCACAGCTCACCCCCCCAGACCTTCTCAGAAACATTCCTGGGTCGGGGGTGGGGGGGGCACTAAATGTGGTCACTTGATTTCAGGGAAATGCTAGAGCCCTGATCCAGTGTACGTGAAAGGGGTGGAAACCCCAGACTTTTCTGGGTATGGGTTCTGGGAAGTGGGTCCCTTCGCAGAAGGATCACTCCCCATCCAGGTGGGGAGTTTATCCACAGGGGTCTGGCCACCTACCCCCCAGTACACACTAACAGATTTTGGAGCAAGAGCCTGGAACAGTCCTCACACTGGCTTTACAGTGTGTATGTGTGGGGGGGGGGGTAATGGCCAGGCCTGGGGGGCCAGCGTTCCATTGACTTCCTGGTGTTCCTCCCAGGGGTTTTCCTCCAAAGGGCAGGTCCCCAAGGGGGGCGGTGAGTCCGGGCAGAGCAAGCAGAACTCAGGGCAAGAGGGGTGAGCAGCTCTGGGGCTGAGAACCCCCACTCCCAGCATCCGAGCCCTGAGCAGGGAACAAAGGCAAGGGAGGGGGAGGGGCAGAAAAGGAAGAGAGAGGGGTGGGTCTGGGGGCTTCAGAAAGGCTCCCTTCTGGCCCAGGACCGAGAGGGAGGCCTCGCAGGCCCCAGCCCCAGTCTGCAACTCTCAGAGATGGGGTTTTGGGGGAACAGACGCTCCCCCCTCCACTATCCAGCCCCCCAACAGTGGCTCCCTCTACTCCAGCCCCTTCACACTTCCGGGTTGGACTCTACTTTGTCTTCACTTCTTCTGCCCCTTACCTCCGGGTCTTCTCACCATCACCCGCGGGACTGCTGTGTCTGCCTCTTCTCTTTTCCTCTCTCCCCACATCCCTCTCCTTCTTCCTCCCTCCCTCTCTCTTTTCCCACCCTCTCTCTGCTCTCCGTCTTTCCCTGTCTTTTTCCATGCCCCTTCCTTTGCTGGGCTTCAGCAGCCCGTGGTCCCTGGGTCCTCTCCTCTGGCTCTCCAGCCTCCCTCGGACTCTCAGAGCCTGGCGACGGGGGGTGACGCCTAAGCCGTGTGGTGACCCCGTCCCGAGGAGCGGGCCTCCAAACCCACCCCGCCACACGCGAGGAGGAGGGCGGCCCCGAAAGGCCTCCGACGGACCCAAAGCCCACGAGCACGGTCCTCGTCCGCCCACCCCTCCCGGCGCCCCCACTCACTGTCGGGACTGAGGCCGCCGCCGTAGCCGCCGTGCGCCTGAGGGTACCAGTGCGTCGCGGCGCCGCAGCCCAGCGCGTAGGGCGGCCCGGGGCCGGGGGGCGGCCGGGGACCGAGGCCCAGTGCGCCCGGTCCTAGCAGCGCCCGCGCCCGCGCCTCCCCGCCGGGCCCCGCGCCCGCGCGCAGCTGCCCCCGCCGCTGCAGCCGCCGCCGCCGCCGCGCCTGCTCCGCGTCCTCGTCCTCCGGATCGTCGTCGTCGTCCTCCTCGTCCTCGCGGCCGCCGCCGCCCTGGGCCGCGCGCCTGGCGCCCTTGGCCTCGGCCGCCAGCAGGTTCTCAATGAGGAAGGAGGAGGCGCGAGCCGGCGTGGAGCGCCCAGGCTCTGTCAGCTCGTCCGGCATCGCGGCCGCGGGCCCGTCGGGCTCTGCGCGTTGCTCAGGGGTCCCGGGCCCCGGCCGGGGACTGTGGCGCGCGGCTCCCCGGCGGCCGC